CAATTTCCCAGATTTCTCTAAAAATCTAATTTGCTGCAGAGGACATGTTTGGTTTTATTTTTTCCCAGAAATTATCTGAAGATTGTTCTGCTGAAGATTCTTGTGCTGCTTTCAGGTCTTGCATGTTCTAAATCCCACTGCACAGAGAAGATCTTCCTATCACCTTGATTTCCATACAAAATTCCCTCTGCAAACATCAGCTATTTTCAAAGATGCTTGAAGTGTTAGTCAGTGTTTTCTTTGTCAGATGCTTACATTAACCTTGCACTCTTGAATACTGAAAAGGAATTATTCAGCTCAGAAGATTTGATCCAATTTACATTGGTGATTAATTTCTATTYGTTGCAATAAGGGTGTAAGACCCATTCTCTTTCTTCTTTCCTTCTCAAAATCACTAGAAGTTGTTACAGGCATGCAAAAATCTAGCTCAAGATATCAGCCTCAGAGGAAAGGGAATGATTTATCCATATCTAGAGGACTTTCAGAACTTGTCAGACTTGGATTACTCTTTTTGTATTACTGTGCGCAACTTTGAATGAATTTAAAGCAAGCGCATCTGATTTTCATTTGGTAAGATAACAGCCAGGCAGTCTTGTGTGCAAAGCCTGTTTCTAAGTTGAAGCCATTTACTACTTGATGTCAGTTTCGTGAACTTGACTAGTGTCAGTCTGAAACAAAACCTGAATTTCTCTTCTAAGTCGAGAGTTTTGGGGCAATCTGTATACAGAACATTGTGCAATTGTCCCACTCTCTTCCTGCTTAGAGACTCCTCTTTCCACAAGTGGGGAGCTACCRCATTAAGGATTCAAGCTGATTGCATTTGGGGAAAAACAAATGTAATTTTAAAAYCTAGGTGTCTGCCCTTAACTGTATTTTCGTCATGTATTGTAAACCTGCTATTCACATCATCAGTGATGCTGTCTGCTGTTTGTTTCTCGCCTATAAGCAGTCTAGCACMCTATTATAGAAACAGTTTCTCATGTAGAAGCAGCATCTCATCAACCATGCTGATGGATTGTCAATCTTTGAATTGTATGGAAAGAAAATTTTTCTTTCCATATTTGTCTTTTGGATGAATTGACTCCCATTCTCCTTTGCTGTCAGTAACTGGTTTATGACTAAGACTTACGACTATTTGAAAGTATTGTCTCCATATGTTTTGGTAATAAAGATGCTCTGAAAAGTGATTTTACTCGACAAATTAGATTGTTCAGACCAGAAACATTCTCATATGAAGRGTGCTGTCCATTGGTTTGCTGAACCTGTGAGAGAGAAAGTTGATAAAAATTGTTTCCTGACACAATATGAGAGAGAATGAGAAACTTTTTCTTTCCAGYAATAACCCAAGTGGTTTGGTATCAGACTATTTTAGTCTGCATCTCTTGATTTGGCAGGCCTGGAATTCTACCTATTTCCAAATTTCATCTGAATATGCTCACACACTGAATCAGTATGCACATTTCAGCTGTTAGATCAGGTAGTGCAGATGCCATCCCATTGGGGGTTTACTGTTATAATTAAGTTTTTGTGGTGATTTTGTCATTGTAGGGAAGAGTCTAGAGGAGAAGAAAATAGTCAAGATATGTGATTTGATATGTTGCTTCAGTTTCCTTTCCTTAATTTTATATGGGAAGTTTTAGATTACTTGTCTGTGTTGAAGAGTTCATTGGCTTTCCATTACCTAAATTGATGTTCAATTATCATCTCCTTCAGCTTTACTTTCTTCTCTATAGAATTTTTCATTTCTTTCTTCTGTTCAGTTGCTAAATCATTTCTAGAGTCTCCTCTAATTAAGGACCTCGGTTACTTAATTTAAATTCTTACGAGAAAGCCCTCCGAGTCTTGGAGGCAGAGTGAGTTTTTCAACCCAACAGACAGGGTTTCATACAAGGGAGAACTGTTTAAACTGCAAGTAGAAAACCTTTACTCAGAGGATAAGAAGGCACAGGAACAGGTTACCCAGAGCATGTAATYCAGGTTACCCATCCCTGCAAGTGTTCAAGGCCAGGTTGCATAGAGCCCTGAGTAACCTGATCTGGCAGGTGGCATCCCTGCCTGTGACAGAGGCATTGGAGCAAGATGACCTTTAAAGTCCTTTCCAACCCAAGCCTTTCTATTATTCCTATGATTATTAAGAAAATAGCTCATTTCTGATATAAGGGCACAATTTTATGGATGAGGCAATTCTTAAAACTTGTGCAAATGTAAGCTAATATTTATCTGGAGTATGGTTTGTGTCTCCTCAAAACTGAAAGTTGAGAATTATTCACTTTACTTTTGATAGCAAGGAAAGATCCACTTACGTCCATTGCCCAGTCATTCAAGGGGCTGCGTTTCAACACAGTTTCCAGCTGGATAACTATATATGTGTGTACTATAAGATGGTTAAAAAAGCAATGTTTGCTTTGATTAGAGCTCATTAAGCCAGTACATCATCATCTGGCATTCGTGAGATCCTTGCCAGTACTTAATAGCCAGAGGAGCTCCATTCAACTTTGAGTGATAAACACTGTCATTGAAATTAAGGAAATGTCACTTTTGAGAGAGCAATACTTTAATTAGATGGAGATTGTGGGACTACATCCTCTGATACAGCATGAGCAGGGTACTGCTGAAAGCCATCCACAWAGTGAAGGTGTGTAGAGAGTACTTATTCTTCCCATTACATTGTTTGTATGTGCAAACCCTTCTCATCTCTGTTTTACAGAGTCCTGTTTAAATTTTGGATCACTAGGTTGGAGGGGAAAGACATACTCCAATCCTTCCATGATTGTGATGTGCCTGGAGGGAGGGTTTGATTTATAGAGTCCTTTCTCAATCTTCTGTGAAAGCATTGTCTTCACTGTGTTTGCAAAACCCTTTTTGCCTTGGTCTCCTGGCAGCTTTTGACACCTGTGCTCTCCATTCCCATTGCTATTGCACAGGTTCAGTGAATGACTGCACTTTTTTTGTTGGTGCAATCATCCAGAACTGACTGTGATTCCAGATGTGGAAATACAAGAGTCCATGTAAAATCTCTGCCTATGTCTTAGTTCCAAAGTGGATGATGCTTAAGGATAATGTTTATGCCAGTGATATCGCATCTAGACACAGTGGGAGCAAAAATGAGCCAAGTTGACTCAGTTCTGGTTCTAGCATTTGCCTGTCCTTCAAGTCCGTGCTTCTCTGCACTATTTTGCCTTGAATAGTATAACAGGATGAATAGATTATTTTTCTGATTCATTCAAATATTTTAGAAGACCTCTTTTAAAGTTCTCAGATGCAAGCAATCATCTTACTTTACAGGAGAAAAAAAAAAGTGGAAAGATGAGAAGATTAATGGCAATTAAATATTTTGACAGACTTTAGCACATCTCTGGCAACAGAGTGAACGGTGTCCCTTTTGGGGTGAAGAAAATGAATTATTTTTCGAAAGAATATGGATATGCACATTTTCCCTGTGTATAGAACATGTATTGCAGGCACTTGGACAGAAGACTTTTAGATTTAGCTGTAAATAAAGCAAGCTTCCTTGTCCTGTAATTAAAAAAGAAGAAAATCACGGCAATGAAGTCTACGAATGATAATGAACTTTTCGAGGTAATGAAAAAAGAAACCTCAGGGCTAAACTGAGGAGTTAGAAGACTCAAGACTGATTAAAGATGCCATAAAATGGCAGATGGAATTCAATATAAGTAAATGCAGTGAGGCACATAGCGGGGCAATCCTTTATAACAATCAACTGTTATCATTTGGGGGTCATAATAGATACTTAAAAATACTAAGCCTCAATGCTTAGTGGATACCAAGGAGGCAAAGCGTCAGTTATTACTAAGGAAAGCAACAAAAATAAAACAGAAATTACCATCTTCCATTGATTCAGCCCTGGAATATTTTCAATTTCTTCACTGTCAGCTGTATTTAATGCTACTGCAGAGGTATAAATAAATGTATTTGTAATAATATATTACAAATAATGCATACACATCCGCAGACAGAAATTACTGTTATAAGCTGAAAAAGAATTCTCCCCTTTGCTTTAAGTGTCTCCCATTTGTTTTTTATTTCCATGTTTTCAGCCTATCATAAAATGCAAATTTTATGTATCAAYGTTTAAGATACTGTATTTTCAATGAACTTTCTGCAAAGTTTTCACTAAATATCACCTCTTTAACTATAAACAAGCAGGGCTTTATCTGATTAAATATGCAAGGGKAAAATAGGAGCAAAAGAAGTTTTCACCCATTTCTACTCCTGTCTTAACTGACATTCTAAAATAGAGATTGCCTTTTAAAAAGTCTCTTGTTTTCTTTTCCTAGCTTCTCTGGAGCTTTAACTAGTTGTTGTGAATATGTAGGATTTGTAAGGTTGTCTCTGCAGCCAAGTAAAAACATGCAAATACAAAACTTAGAAAAGTACAAAATTTGTAAAATTGTGAGAYAGAATACCTTTGGTTTCTGCTGGCATGGTATTGAAATAAAACTTCTGGAAGAAATCTTTTGCAATGCAGACCAAGACAAAGAAGCTAGCTGCTATTTCGCCCAGCAAACAGTTCAAGCTCTATAGATTTTAAATAGAACTAGGGATTTAGGATACAAGTTGGATAAAGCAAGAAACAGTGGTCAGAGAATAATGTGGAAAATAAGGCCTGCAGAAAGAATAGCTGCCAWTCCATACATACAAATAGATACTGAATAAATAGGAGCAACTTGCTGAAGTAGTAGCTAATTTCTTTCTCCARATGATATTGTTTACACATCAAGGGCTAACGCAGAAACCCAAGGAATTAAAAAATTAGGTGTCATCATAATTTTGAAGAATGTACTTGTTGTTTATAAAAGCCGAAAGTATACCTATTAATAGAAGAACATTAGTGAATGATCAAGARTTTCCAAAAGTAATTGGGCAGTCTAGAAATTAAAATTTTCTATGAAATTATTGGAACCATGCATAAAGTAGGTGGGTTTCAACATTCAGACATGATAGTATCTCAACTTGAATAATTCTTTTGTGTTTTGCAGAATGAAGAGAAGGCACCAGTCAGTTTCCCATCACTTCTTAGCCATATGACTTCTCTTTTCTTAAATCATCCTTTTATTCCAATGACAATAAATGCAGATTCAGGTGTCCCAGAATTGATAAATACTTTTTCTCCGCTGATGTCATCCATGCCTTGCGACATACATTTAGTCAATCTGAGGACAATCCAAGCAAAGGTAAGGCCAAGCCACTGTTTTTTGTGAGCAAACATATTATATAGTTTATTTAATATAGTCAAATAATTTATTCTGGTAAGGAATTTTGTGGGTGGGTTTCCGTGATGTGATAAACTGCAGTGTGATTACTAGCTGTCATTAATTCTGCAAGAACTGTAGACTTGTGTCTGAGTAATATGTAATGCAGGAGTTTTTTTTTTCACAACATAGAATCCTGCACTCTGCATATTATCATCTCTGGAACATTTCAATGAGTTCCCAAAGTTTAAGGGAAAACCATTCATTTAGTTCAGCCTTTTCTGGACTAGAAGAATTAGATTTAAGGCATTCGAATTTGTTCTGAGTGTGTTTTTAATAAAGCATATAGTTTTAAACCCGACTTTTATTATTAAAATATCTTTTAGCTTAATTACAAGAACTAATTCAATTATTCCTACATTATCTTATAATCATTGCTTCCTGTGAAAACATTCTCTGGTAGGCTAACCAAAACCAAACCAAAACAAACATAAACTAAACAATTAACCACCACCAAAAACGACAGAAAAACCCCAACAAACAAAAACTCAACAATAAACAAACAAAAGAGGCTATTCTTTACCCAGTTTTTTTTTTTCCTTCAAAGAAAATAACCTCCAGAATTAATTTACTGTTTGATAAACTGAAAGACTGAAACTCTTTTTGCATTCTTTTCCTGCCAACTGTTCTATGAATTCTTTTCAGTTTTTCAGCTCCTTTTAAACTGCGAGTATGTTAACTTTGTTCTGTGTTGCAGTGCCACTCACCAGTGCTGCTACCATAATGAAATCCCTTTTTAATTCTGCCATACTTAGACACAAACTCTTTATCCCTTTTTCCCTGTAGTTTCCATTATGGCTGAGGTAAAACTTGTCTGTATTAACATCAGATTATATTCTGTTTTTTTCTGTTTTTCATTTAAAGTCTTAAACTAATTTTAAAAAATTAAACAATGTTTGCTTTCTCATGCTTTCTTTGTGAGTAGTTCAACTTCCTGTAAGCTCCTTCAGTGGTGTCTGATTCTTATTTTGAATTTTGAAGTGATAAATTTCTCAATTTTGTGGGTCTTGTGCCTTTGAAAAATTAGGAAGAAGCCTGATACTATATTAAATCTTCATGTGAAGTGAATGTTACACACTTCATTCATTGAATGTTTCACACTTCAGTCATATTCACAAATATTCATTGTGAATATTTTTACTTTCCCCTGCCAGCTCATCATCACAGATTTACTTCAACACACCAAGGTCAGGGGCAGACCTTCATGTACATCTTTCCTCTCCCTTTTCGAGGCTTAAATCCACCCCCCTTGTTTGTATCATCTGGGYATGAAAGCTGTGAAAAGAAAGGCTTGCTCAGTGTCTCCTTTTTGGGTTCAATGTTACTGCTTGTAAGTGAATTTTCTGATTTTATCTGGGTTGTACTGACCCCACCATCCCAGCTGGTATAAGAGTATTTGAGGCTATGATCTCTTCCCTGTCCACAGCTGTATTTTTCATTGATTACTGATTGACAGCTCTTGAGCTTGCAGCATTAGTATGTCCTCTTCAAAGTGAAAGCTCGCAGCAGTCACAGGATAGGAGCAGTATCATTATAGACACAGAATGTTCTTCCCCCCAGCAAAAATGGTGCTATGCGTTGAAAATAATACTATAAATCTCCCCTCACTTTCTGCGTCCTTTCTCTTGCTTCCAATAATTTGAATAAGTAACATAATTCTGGCTAACTAACACTACTATTTTTATCCCAGAAATTTGCAACTCTCCATTGTTTAAGATGTTGAACTTGATTTTTCATAATCCATTATAATTTCACATAAAAGGGTCCAAATTAAAATAAATTGTTAAGATTTAAGGTAGAAATCAGAAAGAATATTACATTYGTTGTAAGGTATCTGATCTTATAATGGAGAAGTCCAATACCTTAGGATGACAGCATTTAAAGAATTTTTTTTAAGTGAGACTAGAGATTTTCAGGAGTTTGACACACATTTTACCTGATGTAAATAAACTGGGATGGAAGATTTAGAACAGAGTACATTTGTCTATTTATACTAAGCATAAATACTTAATTTTGTTGTATTTCTTAAACTTCTCAATGTATGTCTGTTAGCTTACAGTAATTGAATTTTAAAAGAGTTTAAGTGTTTTTTTCTTTCTCATTAAAATTTTAGCAGCATTGCTCTGGGATACTGGCTGTGAGAAAGTCCAGCATTTTTTTTTCTATCTAGTAGCCTGATGTAAGGCTGCATTTTAATTCTCAGAGATCAAAATCAAATCRAACTTTCTCTTCTAAGAAAGCTAGTCAGAGATTTGATAGGACAGTGTTTTGGGATTTTTTGTTGAATAACATTGCTGTGAAATTTTACAAGGTGAAGAATGTTGTTTGTTGAAAACTGAAGAGTTAGTTACAGCAGTTCATGCAGTTACCATGGTCATGTTTAGAAGGTGTATTTAATGCAAATTAAGTTCATCCTTGCTGACACATTCATTAGCCTTAAATGCACTAAATCTAATCTGCCTAGAGATGATATAAGAACAGGTAAGTAAAACTGGATGTGGAGGCTGTGACAACTTGCTCTGTCTCACACCTGCTTTGATAATGGGTTAGAACATTATATTTTACATATGGTTGCTGTGTGCATGGTAGAAGGTGGAATACTGGATCCTGGATATTTATACTTAACRAAACACTTCTATGCAGGACATCATTAATTGTTTGTTACCTTTTTCTTTTAAATCTTTTGAATCCTTATTAAGATCATGTTTAATGCTAAAAAACTGAGAGATGAAATATTCATGCTGTCATTTGAAATTCATACATACATTTTTTATGGAGATTACTAAAAGATAATTTAAATGAATTAGAGGAAGTGTTGATACCCATTACTGGCTTGTCATTTTTAACATTAATTTACCCCATAGGAAGTCAGGCTTTTTCAGTATAAATTTTAATGTTTCACTAATCTGATGTTTAGGCTGATGGTATTATTTTGTGTGCATAAAAATATCTACTTTTAAGTGCAACGCTGTCACGTGTCAGTGACAATGAAAACCAAGTCAAGTGTTTCATAGTAGCAGAGGGAAAATAATTCTGTCACATCACAGTCACCACCTTATTGCRTTAGGAAGTGATACTGCTGTTCCAGTGAACACTAGAAGAGCATCTTTAGCCATCAGTTCTAGTAAGTACTGTATGCTGAATGTAAGCATTAATTAAAAAGTTGATTTTAGGTGGTTGTAAGCTAGTGTTCACAGAATCCTTTCAAGCTGAGTTTTATTCACAGTTACTAAACTATGCAAAATTTGTAATGGTCATTGTTTTACTAAAAAATACCTAATTTCAAGTCCAAATATTATTGTGTAAATTTTTACTATTTTAAATGAGGAACCTAAACCCACAAAATGTATGGGCTTTTTATTATATGAATGAGTACTTTATACTGTGTATTTTTTGTACTTTGAATATYTGTCATGCTGGGTTTGTCAAAGAAGCTGGTACAAGCTGATCCACGATCTCCTGTATGGAAAGACATTTAGCTGTTAGATTGTACCTTGTTGGTATACCTTCAGGAGTGATGCATCACAAAGTGCCTAATGCTTGTTGGCACAGGTTTCTCCAGTCAATAGATGCATTCTGAATGTACCAGAATGAACCTAACTGATGGCAGAGGCTTTTGTGAAAAGCACCAGTGCAGGAACAAATAAACCAGAAACAAATGAGAGAAAAATAGCCTGAAGAGCTGGCATGACTTTTGCGCTTATTGTATATATAATAAGATAAAGAGCTGAAGAAGGTAAAACATCAATAAATTAAAAATTATGCATCATGGTAATTAAGTGACTATGGTGAGTGTAGAGATGCAGCTACAAGAATGACACTGAGTTGCTGGAGCATGTCCAGGGGAGGGCAGTGGAGCTGGGGGAGGGTCTGGTGCATAAATCTGATGAAGAGTTGTTTACTCTTTATCATCTCTAGGGGCTCCAAAACACTGAATATCTTGTAGATAAACATAGAATGTATTTCTTATGTGTATTTCAGAGTCCAGTTCTCTGTATGCCTTAAGGTGCGTTAGAAATCACTTTTACAACATGAAAGCTTGTTCAACGTAATCAGATGGAGTATTTAAAACTGAGTTTTGTAGTTAACATACGATTTCTAGTTKGTTTTCTATTTTGACAAATAATTTTTGTGGGAAAACAATTAATAAAACCATGATAGCTACACTTCAATCCTGAGTCTGTACATGTACATATGTTGACTTTTAAACTCAGCAACATACATTTATATTCTGTAGTGCAATAGATATTTCAACTCTGCCCTTTAGTTCTTTCTATGTTTAGCTTTATAACATTTTAAAAAACGTGACAGTTCAATCTAGGCTGAATATTTTTTAAGATGAAAATGGCTCTCATTGTATGATGATAATTTTTTTGGTGTCCTAAAATATCTTCCTAACTGATAGTTTTTGAGTAATCTTTTACATTGTTTGTCTGTAGGTAGATACCAAGCCATCTGATGAGGCTGCTCTGATTCTTCACAGAAAGGGATTTGATTGTAGATTTTCAAACAAAGACACAGGTCTGCTCTGTTCCACTACTCAGGGAAAGGTATGGTTATTATTCTGTAGGAATTTTATAATAAAATTTTAAAGTAGTTATGCAATTTTCTTTAAACTGAAGTGTAAATATCATTTTGTTTAGAAACAAAAAGAGTTCAAATCCAAATGTTTCTAGTAATTTTGAATATACTGATTTAACTTACATTGAAAAGTAGCAAGTGAATATTGTCTAAAAAGGCCTAAATTGGTGTACCGTGTTTGATATATGATGCTTAAAAATATTCAAAATCTTTGGTACGAGAATTACTGTGCTGGTACCTGTAAGGAGCTATACAATTTTAAGGTACATACTGCATGTTCTAAATGTAGTCCTGTTTTGTTTTTTTTTCTTTTCCCCTCCAGATAAAGGTTCATAAACTCTTTAGCAAATTCAGAGTGGAAAGTCTTACACCCACATCTTTATCTTTGATGCATTCACCTCCAGATGCCAGAAATATAAGTGGAATAAATATGGGTTCTATGGAGATAAATACGTTCCGGATTCGGCTGAGATGAAGCCCTGCTTTAATACTCAGAGAAGAAAAATCTGCAATTGTATCTCCTCTGAGATTCATGTGCAATAAGAAGCACATTGATGTAATTCCAGCTTCTGGATACTGTGAGAAAAAGATGCATTCTATTTTTTTTTTTTTTTACCAGCACAATGAAAAGCCATGTTGCAAGCAACTTTTTTTTTTCGTTCAGGTTTTTTTTGCCCCCCCCTCATAAAATAGCAGCATCATTATCAGTTAACACAACAAGTGAAGAAATTACTAAAGATGTTAACCTCTCAACAGATTAAATCTCAGGTTAAATGCCAATTAATGATGTTTCTGGTGTTTTAATTTTCATAAATAGGGGATTGGATTTTAAACAGCCTTCTTTTCTTGATTCTTGATGTATTTATGTATGAATAACTCAGTGTAGAAAGTCCTGATGCAGCTTGGAAATAAAATGGAATAAAATGTTCCTGTGTAGTAGCTAATGTCCAAATATTTACAATCATTTATATAAATGACAATAATCTCAATTTATTCCACAATTAACTTCAATTTATTCAACACAAAGGGGATTATTAATTGTGGGAAAGTGAAAGCCTGCAGTACTTGTGATAAGTGGTGGTAGATTTTAATACTTCTACCATTCACATGATATGTAAATAGGAAAACGTGAACCTACAAAGTAATTTTGCAATGGAAATGTTTAATACAACTCCCATTTTGTTACTTGACACACTGGGATATGTGCAATTATTCCATTACCATGATGAGAAATGTCCATAATTATCACGAATATAAGATTTTTTATAAAACTCATTTAGATACCAGTGTTCTTTGAAATGAGTTTTCTATTTCAAGATTACCATATCAAAATAAATGTGCCTTATTTTTTGATATGTCTTGTTACAATTTTGGTGTCTATGTTAATGTTTTTGGGGAAAAGGTAGTTTATATAATACTTAAGCTGTGTATCTCCTATTGGACAATGCTGGCCACACTGATCTATGTACTCCTGCACCAAGTTTGTGCTATCTTATTCTGAATATTTTGACTATTTGAATGTATTAATATGAAGTCATGACATGAAACACCAATGAAAAAAGAATTACTGTAGAAGCTAAATTCAGCTGCTTTCAAGAAAATTGCAACTTGATGCAGAGTTGATAGTAAGCAAGACATAGTTTGCAAACCCATCAAAACATGTGCTTGCATGTCACAGACTGTGGTGACCTGCTAATTCTGAATCATGTGCCTATATTTTAAACATTTTTCAAACTTGCAACCTCACATTTCCAATGTTCATGTTACTGAAGAGTGGAGACTGCTTTTTTCCCATATTAATTCATATTTAGTACTTAAGCCATCCAAGTGTGAAAAGTATAGCTGCCATTTACAGTTTGACTATGATCCTGTTTTATAGTCTTCATTTATTTTCATAGCTCATTCTTCTATCTCTTGCTTGTGCTTGATTTTTCCATACCTTGTTGCTTATCCTTGATACTAATGCATGAAAAGTCATCATAATTGGTAAAAAGATGTGCTAGCTCTAATATTGCCTACTGTACTTAATTTCATTGTTGTTCCACAATTACATAAAATATCAAAGTCTATCAAATTACTTCATRTAGCTACAGGCTATCTTGAAAGAAAATAAAAATCATACGTAGATTTCATGCATTGTCACAGGTTGGATCTCTGCTGAGATTGTGTAGACTTTCTTAATTCAATTTACTGTGTGTTTTGTAATAATGGGAATACTTAGTAGGATCTGGTGCAAGTTACATCAAGAATGTAGGAACCACTAACCATAAATGGAAGAATCAGATGGATCCAATAAATGGATGTTTTCATGCAATAAACATGTACTGTAACTTTTAGAGCATTTGGAAATTCTGGTTTGTGTTGGAATTCAAAGTTTGGTAGACGTGCCAGCAGAAATTTATCATAACATTTATTTTGTTGCTTCTTCAGAATGAAAATGTTCAAGAGACTTTTATGTGTTCTGTGCAAAAAGCATTCAAAATACTATTTCAGTTTTGTTAGGCAGAAAAGGAAAATTTAGATGCAATAAAATTTTAAAGTATTTTGCCTCTTGGAATTGCTTTGAAAGATTCTTCACATAACATTGGTTGTTTACTTTTRTTATCAGCTGTACAATAGTGTTGCCTGAATCTTCCTTAACCAGCAGATTTAATCCCTGTTCCTTTATTTTGTAATTTTGTTATGTAATGACAGCTTTCAACTCAAGTTCCTTTCCTGAAATCCTTAACTATGTCAAAACTCTAGTCAAGGTCTCAAAAAAAATTTTGCTTGAATTGGTTCAGAATGTGGCTGTCAATGATTTAATTGGTTTGGGGTTTTGTTGGATTTTTGTTTTGTTTG